CTGTCAAAGTTGACTGCACAGACTTAAAGTGTAGGATATGCTTAGAAACTTTCCCGAACTTGGAACTGGCAGCCGATCACTTGATGAATGTTCATAATAAGAATGTCAATCCCAAACACGATTTGGGGTTACATCCCTTTAATATTTTCTACGGGAAATACGCGTGCGCGATTTGCTCGGAGAAGTTTTCCACGTTAGCTTTACTAAGTAAACACACACATACGCATTTTGTGCAGTATACCTGCGATGCTTGTGGTAAATCTTATGCTTCGCTAACATCGTTACAATGCCATTTGAGATACAACTGTGGCAGCGGATCCGCCAAGAATAGATGTAGGAAATGCAGAAAAATGTTCACCTCAGTATCAGAGAGGACGAAACATCTAGAAAAGTCTATCAGATGTCGATCACACGTTTGTAATATTTGCGGAGACAGATTCCTTACGTGGAATATGAAACAGACACATTTAAAAGAGTCCCATAATGTCCCAGAAAAGTCCTACAACTGTCCTGAATGTCATATAGTTTTTACGAAACGTGATAAACTACGGTTGCACTTCAAAACTATGCACACTAATGACTACGTTAAATGTTCGTACTGCGAAAAGAAATTTGACAATGATAGGAATTTGAAGAAGCATATCGTTGTGCACACAGGGGAAAGGAACTTCATCTGTCCAGTCTGTTCTAAGGCGTTTCCTAGAAAGTCTGCGTTAGGACAGCATATGTGGATACATAGTGCGGTGAAAAAACACGAGTGCAAAATGTGTGATAAGACTTTTAACCAACGAGTGAGTTGGAGGACGCATATGAAGTCCAGACACCCCGAACTTTGCGTGTTTTAGGTGATAGACGACAAATATCTTAAAACTAACATTAATATGATTTTTGTACGATATCTTTACGTTTTTTTGCACTATTTTCCAATAGAATACAATAAATGGGATTAACTAATAGTTAAAGTAATTAAATTTAAATAGAAAAGTGACCAAAATGTCTCTTTTGTTCTAGAACAAAATCCGCTGCACATTGCAAAAAGGAACGCCCAGATCGTAATACAATATGTCACAGCTTATCCATTTAGACTACCGGAAAGTTCCATCGTTTGCGTTTACTGCTGTGAAAGCTTTGACGACGCTTCTCAATTCAGAAAACACATGGACGACGAACACGATGTTACCAACGTCAAAATAGCGTTCTCACATATCCACGAAGGCTATATCAAAGTTGACTGTTCGAATCTCCGCTGTAGAATTTGTCTACAAACGTTTGACAAAATCGGAGAAGCAGCTACTCATTTAAACATGGTTCATAATGAGAACATTGACCTGAGCCACGACGTTGGCGTCCAACCTTTTGACTTACAAAATGATAAACTATCTTGCGCCGTCTGTAACGCCAAAGCCTCGAACATGCGAAGTTTGAGTCGTCATATCCAAAAACATTTCTTTCAATGTACTTGTGAACTTTGTGGCAAATGTTTCGCTACTGCAACATCTTTGCAGAAACATTTAGAATTCTCTTGCCCTCACGTCGTGAAACAGCGTAAATGTAGGAAGTGTAAAGTAGTCTTATATTCGACGGAGGATCAAAAGAAACATTATGAAAATTCGAGGCAGTGTAGGCAGCATTTGTGTTCGGTCTGCGGAGATAGGTTTAGCACGTGGAAAATAAAGCAGAACCACATGGAACAGGCACACGGTATACCGAAGAAAGTATATCACTGTCCAGAATGCAGGACTGTGTTCAAAAAAGCTAATTTATTCAGAGCCCATTTCAAAATTGCGCATACAGATGATCATTTTGAATGTCCTAGCTGTGATAGGAAGTTTGATACGAAGTATGTTCTGGACAGGCACATGGTAGTCCATTCGAATGAAAGGTTGTTCTCTTGCGATACGTGTTCGAAGTCGTTTCCGAGGAAGTCGACGCTTCGACAGCATATGTGGATACATAGCACGGTGAAGAGGTTCGAATGTAAAATGTGCGATAAACAGTTCAATCAGAAAGTCAGTTGGAAAACGCATATGAAGTCTTATCATCCGGATTTAGGAGGTTTTAGTTAGTTGTGGAATGTTCCATGGTACATACTTTATCAAGTCGGCGTTTCACTTTATGTCGTCTGGTAATAAGCGATGATGCGACATATGGTGGCTTACGGTTACCTAATGGATAAAGAAATTGATGGCCGTTTTTACCAACCACCAGATAGATTAGGTGTATCTCTTAACTAAAAGTTACTTTGGACAAGGGAGAACTTGAATTAACCCGTTATTGTACCTACTGCTAGGTGTCACATACTATTAAAAACCAAAATGTTATTAAGTGTCGCCTAGCTTATGGATCCAAAGATGGAGATAAAGAGAGAAATCGGGCACAAGACTCTGAAAAATGAAAGCGTATGTTGCGGATTCTGTCACGATTAGTTTTTCTTCTTTCTAGATTGAACAAAAATATTAGAAGATGGTACAAAATAATTTCTACTGTTTCAAAATGATATTTAAACATAAAGAAACGTCCGTTTCTGACGTCTAAGTCCATGTTTTTATGATAACTATCGTGAGACACATCTACTTAAACTGTCAAACACCAAGCGGTCACCGGTGACCGCGACCTATTGTTCTTTAATTGTGTCTATAAAACCGGTACTCGACGAGTTAATTCTAGGTCCATAGTATTCTTTTTACTCTCCCACATGTTCTTAAGAGTAAAAACGCCATTGGGGTCACCGGTGACCGACGACGTTAGCATAGGATTTGTCTTCAACAGTTTTCTATTGGCAGTCAAAGCTCTAAAGCCGAAGATCCTTCTACAGTTTTACATCTTTATTCATATTAACTGTATACAGTGAATGATGTTTTAAGAAAATATAGCTAGCTAAAGCTTAGGAATTTGAGGATTGTGGGGGATTCGGGGATTGGGGAGACTGGGGAAGGGGGTAATTGGGCCTCCGGTTACCTCACTCACACGACGAAACATAACTCAAGCGTTGTTTCACGTCTGTTTCCTGTGAGGCCGTGGTATCACTCCGGTCGAGCCGGCTCATTCGTGCCGAAGCATGGCTCTCCCACACTTAAAACTTTGGACTTGATTATAGTGCATACTGTAAAATGGGGTGGATAGGGATCAAGTGGTGAATAGAGACATAAGAGGGGTGAATAGATATTGAAAGTATCGACCCCTCTTCTGTCCCTATTTACCTCTTTATCCCTATTCACCCCATTTTACCGTAGCTAATTTCACATTTTATGTTTAGACAGTGTTGTCGTAGAATATTGTATTATGACCAGTTTTAATTTATTTCCTTATAGATTTGGCTACTAAAGTTTGAATTTTGATTATGTACACGACATCCTACTTATAATATTATAAATGCGTAAGTTTGTTTGCGTGTATATTTGTTACTCACTCACGCCAACACGGCTGAAGAGATCGTATTGAAATTGGAACGGAGTAGATACTGGTAGACACATTGACCTTTTATCCCACAGGGAACGCGAATGAAGTTAGTACAAATCTCCCTGGTCTCTGGTATTCAAATCCACGAACATATTACGTTTCGTATCTTATTTAATCCTGTTTAGTGAATACCTGTGTGTAGTTGTGTCCGGTATAAGGCAATAGGCTCGCCCCCTATTACATGGGACTCGTAACATAAATAGTGGAAAGTAGGTGTTACATTGTACAGTGGCATTAAGTGCCGTAAGGTGCACCTCTGCTTCCCTTCGGGAATAAAAGCCGTATTGTTGTGTATGTATGTATAGTTTGTCGTTTTATCGTGTATAACTCGGAAACGGCTGGACAAATGGTTTACTAACAAAAGCAATATTTAACTGTTTTTTCTTTATTATTGAGTAAAGGGGCTGTTTTTAGTTTTAATTGTTCTAATGTGTGTACCTTGTTGGATTAAAATGTAGATATTATATTATAATACAGTTATAATTATGTAAATAGTGGTTTAGTTCGCGTTTGGAGCTGTTTTCTTCATTAGATATTTTTCTTGGTCCTTTTACTTTTATTTTATTACACTGAGGATAAAAGTAGGTATTATAAGATTTAGGGCTTATTTTACCGATGCCAGATACATTTTAACTGTGGAATAACTTGAAATATTTGACAATTCTCCCATACTAAAAACTGTCAAATGTCAATTTTATTCTACAGTTTAGAATTAACTGATGATTGAAAAATCAGCTCTTAATTGAGTTTGTTTTTGTGTTAGCGTCTCCAAATGCGTTCTAAACACATGAATATATAAAATATCTGTTAAATATTTGTCATAGTTTATTTATCAGTAATATAATATACTACGTTGATATTTTGTTAATTGTTTTGTATAGAAAATTATTATAGTTAGCCTTATAGTATTTAATAAATTGATTACGATTTCATGATTATTTACTCTTTTATTTCGAAACCCAAAGGTAAAAGAATCATTACGTATCTCTCCATAAAAGCTCTCAAAACAAATTTATAGAAGAGCATTTAGTATCTGATCTATTAGAAATTATGTTTAAAGTGTATAATTTATAATAACTATCGTGAGACGTACTGAATACTCTATTCGACATCGACTGGTAGGCTGCGCGACATCGCCGCGATCGCGCACGCCGTGTGACTCGAAACTAGTACAACTTTTCTCAGTATATTTATGTGAGTATCAAACGTTAGCCCTTCGATACAGCGCCGCGCTGCCTACGTAACCTATTTCAAAATAGACGTCAGTAAACTCCTGTAAAAATGGTCGGAGCAAAATTTTTGGTTTATTTGGTCGATACCAAATATTTAATCTGAAGTCTATTTGACAATATACTCCTTTTAGACGATATCCTTAAACAACTTCATAGAGAAGCTAATAAGAATAACCATTCTAAGAGACTAACTTGATGATTAACACTCGATGGGTGATTATTACTTTCCTAAACTTCCAATTAACACAAAAATCCGAAAACAAGGAAGTGATCCGATCAGTCACAGCGATATTTTCTTTTTGTTTCTAGAACCACATTTAATGGCGAAAGAAAACGCAGAGATATTATTGAGGTGTTCCACCATGTATCCGTTCAGATTACGAGGGAAATCAATCACTTGCGTCTATTGCTGCGAAGGATATGAAGACCCCGCGCAATTTAGACGACACGCCGACGACCACCACCAGCACTTCAACATTACCACAGCATTCTACCACATGAGCAGTGCCAAAGAGTACATCAAAGTAGACATCTTTGACATGAAGTGCAGACTATGTTTACAACCCTTTGAAAAGGTTGATGAGATCGCAGAACACCTAAAGGAAGTTCATGAGGAGGCTGTTAAGAGACTAAACCTCGACTATGACATAGGTGTCCAACCCTACAGACTAGATAGCAACAATTACTCTTGCTATCACTGCGATAAAAAAATGCCCTCTGTCACCACCCTATGTCGTCACACCATCCTCCATTACAAACGCTTTACTTGCGACACTTGTGGCAGAAACTATCTATCACACGAAGCCTTAAAATACCATATCAAGGTCAACCATTCAGACAACCACGTTTGTCGCAAGTGCTGGCGGGAGTTTTCCACAATGGAAGAAAAGAGGGATCATATAAAATCCAATAAGAAATGTTGGACATTCTGTTGCATAATTTGCGGAGAGAGATTCCAATCTTGGGAGCAGAAACAGAAGCATTTGGAGATCGAGCATGGACAGGACAAAATTATGTATAAATGTCCTGATTGCGACATGAATTTTTCGACCAGAAAGTACTTTTATACTCATTACAAACTGACGCATACAGATGAGGGATTCCAATGCGCTTGTTGCGGTATGAAGTTTAATACGCAGAAGCAGCTAGATGACCACACCCTTGGTCATACTGGAGAGAAACAATTCGTGTGTAATATTTGCTCCAAGACCTTCGTCCGACAGAAGAGTCTGACCCAACATATGTGGATACACAGTGATACTAAGCGATTTGTCTGCCTCCTTTGTGAAAAGCAATTCAATCAAAAAGTCAGTCTCAAATCTCACATGAAAACTAACCATCCAGAAGTCAATATTGTGTTCTGATTAATTGTTATTGGTTGTCATGTTTTCTTTTTAATTTTAATAAAGATATTGGTTTTATTCCTATTCATTTATTTCCGAAGCTAACCCACTTTAGGTAATTATCAAATAGTTTCTTTTCGGTCATGCTAGTTCGTTAGTTAGATAATAGAGCTTTTGTCCTCCCGGTACAACACTGACCATTTTCTTTTTTGTTTTTAGGTCGTCCATTGGAAATTCACGGACGTAGTGACACAGAACAATCAAAAAAGAAAATAGTCCTTGTTTACCAGACCCCACAAAGGCGTAACGCTGAACTCATTCTAAGCTATTCCACTGCCTACCCCTTTAAAACTAGATTCAGTCAAATACTCTGTTCGTACTGCCATGAAGACTTTAACACGCTAGCAGATCTTAGGTATCATATGAAATCAGAACATATAAAGTCTGGTTTCAAAAACGTTTTCTATAGAGCAAGAGATAATTTAATCAAAATAGATATAACTAACTTGAAATGTAAGATTTGTAGGGAAGAAATCCAAGATGTTGATAGTTTAATGAATCATTTGTATAGAGAACATAATAAGCCAGTTAAATTCAACGCTCGGTACGGAGTTTTGCCTTATAAGGAAAGTTCAGAGGACAAATGGGTCTGTGTTTACTGCAATAAGATTTTCTCCGCCTTCATTTCTTTCAACCGCCATATTGTGACTCATTTCATGAACTATAGTTGTGATAAGTGTGGAACGATGTTTATCTCTGATTATGCCTTGAAAGACCACCACAGACAGGTAAAATGTTTTCGCACAGCGTATAAGGCTCGCAATGGAAGAGTCCTAAAGCCTCGAACCAATGCAGAAATTATTCTTCAATGTTCCACAGCCAGTCCCTTTCGGACATGGAAAAGTAACTTCAATTGCGTCTTCTGTAGGGTCCAAAGTAGAGATCCGAGCGGTCTAAGAATGCATGTCGTCACTATCCACGCGAACTATGACGTCAAAGCCGCGTTTTACAAAAAGTTAGGAAAAGATTTTCTCAATGTTGATATAACTGACTTACAATGCAAACTTTGCTTCATGCCAATAGATTCTTTTGACAATTTAATCTACCATCTTAAGAATGATCATCAGCAACCGATCAACACTGATTCTCAATTAGGAGTGTTACCTTTTCGACTAAATGATGGGTCTATATGGAAATGTACGCTATGTCCAAACGAATTCAAAGATTTTGTATCTCTAAAGAAGCATACTGCTGAGCATTTTCAGAACTACGTATGTGACACGTGCGGGGAGGGATTTATAACGGAATCGGCGATGATAGCTCATACGAAAATCCCGCATGAGAACAAATATAATTGCAGCAGATGTATAGCAACGTTTTCGACACTAGACGAAAGAAATATGCATGTTAAAACTCAGCATACTTCATTACCATACGTCTGCATATACTGCGAAGATAGACCTCGATTTGCGAATTGGGAGGTGCGAAAAAAACACCTAATGGCGGTTCATAATTACAAAAGCGGGGCTGACAAATACGATTGCACAACATGCCAGAAGTCATTTAAAACGAGGTCGGGGAAATACAATCATATGGCTAGGGTGCATCGGATAAAGAAAGATACTGAACTTGGTTACCCTTGCGCGAGCTGCCCAAAGGCTTTTACAACTAAACTATTCTTGGATAAGCATGTTGCGAACAAACATTTGGACGTTTGATTTGTTGAAGTAGTTTTCATTTTATTTTTTATACAAAAGATTTTATATAGGTACGATATTTCTGTTGTTAAGTTTATTTATTTGTTAATAGACGATGTATACGGTTGTGTCTAGAAACGTGACGGTACATTAAGACATTTAATACTCAGAAAATATAAAGTGGACAGACATGATAATAATGCAATGATTTCCTACAAGGATGATGATAATGTTTGCAAGATGAAAGTGCGCTGGACGTACTTGGGTATTCTCTAAATCTACCTTAGTTTTCAACTTGCTAACCAGGCTCTTTTAGAGGAACCCAAATCTATCTGCGTGTAATGTGAAACTATTATTTCTGCTTCTTATAAATTGCGAGTAGAGCATTAATAACTCAAGATACCATTCCCTCCGAAGCCCGAAGCTGTACTAGAATATAATAATGATTAAAAATTCTTTTCTTTTTTAGGGTCCACAAAGGATATTGACGGACTTGAAAGTAAACCAAAACAAAGATTGTTCGAACGGTCCGTGGGCCAGAACCCGCAAAGGCAGAACGCTGTTCTAGTACTTAAGCACTCGACAGCTTTTCCTTTTAAGACCCGTTTCAATAGAATCGTCTGTTCCTACTGCCATGATGAGTTTGAGCCAATGGCCGCGTTGAGGGAACATATGAAAGCCGAACATTCCACTGCTGACTACAACAGCGCTTTCTATAAAGTCTACGATGCCCTAAAAGTAGAAATTACAGATTTAAAGTGCAACATGTGTTCACAAGACATTCCTGATATAGATAATTTTATGAACCATATTTCGCGTGATCACAAAATTAAAGTCAACTTTGATGTACCTTTCGGAGTTCTGCCTTATAGACAGGCACCTTCTGGGCGATGGACTTGTCTAGAATGCGATAAAACATTCCCAAAATTCTCACAAATAAATGTTCATTTAAGGACGCATATGAAAATTTTTACTTGCGACAAATGCGGTGCTACTTTTCTGTCAGATCATGGTTTGAGACAGCATGAGCGTAATTTCAAATGCTATAAATCCTCTTACAATCCACGTTTCGGAAAAGCCTTGAAATACAAAAGTAATACGGAAATAATTCTAGAATGTTCCACAGCTTGTCCGTTTAGAACTTGGGGACAGAATTTCAACTGTGTATTTTGCCGGGTGCAATCAAATGACCCTATAGGTTTGAGAGCCCACATGGCTTCTCGGCACGCGAATTTTGATATCCAACTAGTCTTTAGCAGAAAAATAAGAAAAGAATTCTTAAAAGTGGACATAACAGACTTGCAGTGCAAACTTTGTTTTATACCAATTGAGACTTTAGATGACCTAATGACCCATCTTAAGAATGACCATAAACAACCTTTGAATGCAGACGTTCAACCAGGCGTCCTACCATTTAAACTCAACGATGGATCAAACTGGAAATGTGCGATTTGTAAAATACAGTTCTCAGACTTTATATCCTTAAAGAAGCACACGGCAGAACATTATCAGAATTATGTATGCGATACTTGTGGGGAGGGCTTTATAACTGAGTCCGCTTTGAAAGCACACACGAAAATACCGCACGACAACAAATATAATTGCAGTCGATGCGTAGCAACATTCACAACTTTAGAAGAACGAAATGTTCACATTAAAACACAGCATACGACTTTACCATACATGTGTGTTTACTGTAAAGAAAAACCGAGGTTTGCAACTTGGGAATTAAGGAAGCGGCATCTAATGGAGTTTCATAATTACAAGCCAGGAGCTGAAATGTATGAATGTACGACTTGTCATATGACATTTAAGACTCGTTCGCAGAAGTATCATCACAATGTTAAAGCTCATAGAACTAAGAAAGAGACAGAGTATAGCTATCCTTGTGCCAATTGTCCAAGAGCCTTTGCTTCTAAATTGTCCCTTGATAAACATATCGCGAAAAAACATTTTCATGTATGATGTCTTTAGGAGTTTATGGCTATTACGGCCGTTTCCACCAACCTCTTTTAAGGAACCTCTAAGCTAAGATAGGTGGCACGTAACGTCATTTTGGATTTTACCAACCTATAAGTGATACGTCACAGTACTACAAGTAAGGGTGTAGTTCACGGCTCCCCTAACGTTAAGTAGTTTTTAGTGAAGAGGTGGTTGGCCAAAACCTTAAGTATTTTTTAACATCACATAATTAGTTTTCTTTACGTTAAACTCAGGATAAAGAAATAGAAAATCAAATCAATTTCAATTTTTGTAATGCTGAGGCTACATTAACGGGCGAAGATTCGTATCGCATTGGAGCATAAAACATCCGTTGTCAGACATACACGATGTTCTTGTCTACATTGGCGGGCATTGTCTAGATTCATAATTGTTGTTTAATTGTGCGGCCAAGGCGATGGAGGTAGCAGTTTTCGTTACTCCACTCCACAGCGTACAAAAACACTAGGACGTCAGTCCCACTTCTAGGTCTGGACGATATAGAAGTGACGTAGGTTTGTCCACTCAAGCCAATATTGTCGCGATAAGCGCGCCAGTTTACCGACAGTGCCCCGAATCCCGATGCTACATCATCTGCACGCGAGTATATCGCGTTGCAATAATGTATCCGGCCACATGCATCGCCGTAGCCCGCTAATGTAGCCCCACCATAATAGAAATTACCAGTATTTGTATATTGTGGTTATTTTATCTGTATGCACCTATGTTAACAAATAAAAGTGATTTGATTTGATTTGATTTATTTTAGACGCGGTGGATGCTATCAAGAAGAAATGCTCATGTTAAGTAAAATATAAATTAATCCATTTTAAGTCAAACGATCTGCCTAGGTTACGTATGAGCCGGAGCTGCGGACGACCTAGCAGGATAACTTAGCTCCGGTTCAGCAGTAGAATAGGAATGGGGTTGTTTTTAGTCAATAAAAGTCTGATAATTCTTCTCGCTACCAAAGGCGGGAAAGGTATTGGATGATTCCTCCTTGAGGGGGGCTCAAGAAAGGTTATGTATGAGAGAATGAGATATCACTATACTTATTTAAAACAAATTTTAAATACCATGATCACAATGGGAGCTTTCTCTTTCTTTGTTCACAAGATGGCGCTAATCTAGGAAGAAGTCTGTTTGTCCAATCACTGTAGTGGTCAAATATTAAACGTCCAATGGTGTGATAGCTAATTCCCTATTGGACGAAAGATGAGAGGCCACACTAGCACCATCTAGTGAGCAAAAATACCATTAGCAGTCCCCATTGAAGGACTATAAAGTCTGTATACTGCCATTACTGTGTAATTTTTATTCTAATTTTAAAGCAATATTGATTTA